ATCGAAAGTAGATCAGCTAAGTCAAGTGGATAACCACTGATGAGTTTGGCATCTTGTGCCACTTTTTTGACATCATTGATTGTTTGCTGGAGATTGCTTGGTCGTGCAAACAATACCACTTTAGCACCTCGCTTCGCAAGTTCGATAGCCGTTTGTTTTCCAATACCACTCGCTGATCCAGTGATCAAATAGGTTTTTCCACGAACGTCCGTAGCCTGAAAAGCATCAAACTGTCTTCCACGAGAAAACCATCGTGTAAGGAAACAAATGCCAAAAATGTAAAGTATAACAAAAATATACGATGAACGAACGAAAAGCCAAATAGAATGTGAAATGAAAGGTACGGAGAATGCTGATAAAAGAAGAATAATATTTGGGAGAAGAAGAACTAACAAAGCTTTTATCTCTGGTTGACGAATAAAAAAGAGTATTAAATTGATCATAATGTCAATTTGATTTCAAAATGTGAATTGTTAACAGCGCTGGTTGCTATATAAAAATAATATATTTTTGTGCACTGTCATCATCAAACGTACGTTATTTTGTGTTATTAAAGTATGTGACACATGGACTTTAATGTGCAATACAAAATCATAACATAGATGAAGACAGGAAAGTAAAAAAAACAAACGATGAATGAGTCATTGAGTAAGAATTGACTGCTAACCTATCTTTAGTTTACTTGAAGCGCTTTTCTCTTGCTTACTAATATTAGTATATAATTATGTTTTATTTTTCGAAGCTTGTATAATTAAAATTACAAAGAAGTTATCAGGTATACAATATTCCAAATAAGCATTATCGACGAGAGAATAAAAGTGATTGCACATATTGCTTTCATATTTATGGGTTGTATCTCACATTCGTCAATTTGAGAATAATTTGGATGCCATCCTAACCATGAATTCATAGATAATTCTTTTGGTGGATAAATACAATATGAACGTAATCCTCTCTTATAAAATAATCGGTCTCTAATAATACTTAACAATCTTAATACAAGCATTGTTAATGGAAAACAGAAATATATCAACCATTGCCATGCAGGCCATGGATTACCATAGGGATGATGACCATGAGTTTGTAATACAAATAACCAATAATTAATAAAATACATAAAGCAAAAAATAAAAATAAGAATTGGTGTTGTTTTAATATCTCGTTTCGTATTATGTGGAACAAAGAAATATTCAGCAAATCCATACCAAAATAGCGTTAAATGAAGAAACCACAATGGTTCAGTATATTTAGGACAATGATGATTATTTTTACAACTAATAAAAAATAATAAATGAAAAAAGAATCCTAATCCAACACATATTGAAAACATTAAACAAAAAAATCGATCGAGATGAATTTTTAATTGTTTAACAAGAGAATTATTAATACCTTTTAAAATAAGTATAATATCAAATATAAAAGCTGCTAACATATATAATGCTAATGTTACTAAAATCCATGTTGTTACATAACGAAAACGCCAACCCGGTCCTTGATTTTCAAATTTAGCCGGGGAATTAAATGAAGTAATAAAACCGATTATTTGAAACAAAGTGAAAATTCCATGATAAAGAATATGTAATAAATGAAGCCATATAGGATATGTTCGATGTAATCTCATTATAAGATTTATTTCATTTCCTTTTCTTAATATTCAAGATAGAACTAAACAAACAAAAAATATACGTAATGGAGTTCATTACTAAGAATAAAGACTAGTAACATACAAAATGTGTTTTTTTATTAAAAAACGAACTATATTCAGCTACCATTTACCTAAGCAATGATATGACGAAAAGATAACATGTTGTAGATTCTAAAAAAGAACATACATCTTTTTATTACTTGATTCTGTAACACACATATAGATTGCAATAGATAAACAATATAATCGTCCTGTTTTACTTTCTCTTACGACGATGAATTACAAAAGATAAATGTTTTTATTTAAAATACACACGATCACAACAAAAATAGTTTTATTTAGAGAAACACGATACCTTCTGTTATAACTGATTTCAATCCAACATTCTTATTTTTTCTAAAGAAAATATTCAATAAGATGTGTTATTCATATCTAAATTTTAATAGTTCTTATTAGAGTAAATTATTAATAGAATTTATTCAAGTTTAAAAATATGAATTACATATATTATGGGGTAGTCATATTCGCAGATAGTGAAAATAATTCACACAATGCATACATTAGTTTTGTAAAATGAAAATTGTATAAGAATTTTTTCTGTCCGTATAAAAGTAAAGTAGAATCATGTCACAAATGTCCTTGACGAAATTTTCCCGAATTTTCGTCCTCAGAAAAAATGTCCTTTGAGATAAATGTCCTTGATAAAAATATCCTTTATCCTTGATTCGAAAAATGGGTGTGGTAGTGAATAGAAAGAGCTGACACTCACACCTTCACCCACACACCACACTCACATCCACACCCTCAAATTTTAAACTATTAGACTTCAAAACTGATTAATATTGAATTTTATTAAATGAATTATCATTTGAAATAAATGACTGCTCATTTATTGGCAGTACGAAACGCTGTATTGATCATGCGTACAGTATCAATCATTTTCTTGACGCCTGACATTTGTGGGCCTGTTTGAGTAGCATAATAAAGTGAACTATATCCCCACCAATCCCAACAACCCATTGGATTTGTTGGAAAAAAGTATGAACGAAGTATTTGTGGAAAAATTAAAATGATATTATTAAGTTCAGCTACTTCTATATAACCAGCTTTTGTAGCAAATATATCTCCGACATATGATTTACCTAAAAGAGAATGAAAGCAATTGTATTTTAGAGAAAAAAAAGAAAAATTATATATAATTGCAAACCTTGTTGACATCCATGTAAAGCAACATGAATTGAACATTTTTGACCATTGGTACATGCTGAAGGAAAGTATACAAAACCTTGTTCATCGAAACCAGCTGAAGAACTACGTGGTTTTGTTTTATCTTTCAAAGATACTGCAATTTTTGGCATTGCTGATTTGAAGAAACCTGAGATTGATTGATTCCAATTTTCTGGATTATATAAAGCCATACTTTCTTGAATCCATTGTAACATAGCTGAGCTAGAATTTTGAGCAGTTTTTAATGATGAAGGAGGATTTATAAATCCATCTTGATCAAATGTAAGCATTTGACCGTTAATTGAAGTTTTTGAATCCAATTTCGGTTCAATAAGATTACCGCCATAAAGATGATTCAACATATCATAGGCCATATTAAATTGACTAGAAAAATCAAAAAAAAAACTTTTTTATAATATAATTTATTTTTCTATTTACCAATCGTTAATAAAATTATCTTTATTAAGAACAGCACATTTAGCACCAAAATTATTTGTTGGAAAACCATGATGAGCTGCCATATCAAAATTTGTCTTAACATTTGCACCAAATCGTTTATATAAATCTTCATTAAGTTTAACAACACCAGGATATGCTACTGTATCATATTTACCAGAAAAAACATAGACAGAATCACTGGCAATATTTGTAGGACTATCAATACTACCGGTTAATGCATATGAATTAATTTTCAATTGAAGTGTTGATACAGAAACGTATGCAGCAGGACCACTCATACATAGAGCTGTTGTAAATCCGCTACCAGCACAATAAAATGGAGGGCCAGCTAAAATACCACAACCACTGATATCTTTTGAGAATGCTAAATGTAATTGAGTAGCCATTGCACCACCTGAGGAAATACCTGAAACAGTAACATCTGTACGAGGTGCTTTTGCAGTGACCAAGGACACAACAGCGAGAACAATAACGGTACCGATACAAAATATTGCCATCGTACTACTCTCTCTTTCTTAGAAGGGTGAATGATATATTAAAAGATTGAAAATGATTTTATAAATTGAAATAAACGAAAATATTTTTTCTAATTTAACAGATTAAATGACGTTATTTGAATTGTTATCGGTGAAAGTAGTAATATGATTCTTTTTTATATAATTTTGATTTAAAAGTAATCAATACAGATTAATGAAATTGTAATTGTTATATGCATATCAATGTCCTTTTTTATATTTTTGTTTCTCTTAGAAAACGATGAAAATCTCTTTCATTCACACATAAAAAATTATCGTTGGCAATCGGATACATTTGAAATATTTACGAGATGCGCAATTCAATCTATATTACATTTAAAATGAATATGAATACAATGTTTCTATCCATCTCTCTCACTAGAGTATATTCAATTAGTGACACTATTGACGAGTAGTGAATACGATAATACTAATCAAATAAATAGTACTGCCCACGCCCTCCGACTAGCTAAAAAATTGGTGATTCTTCAAAATAGCATAGGCAATTACATTATTTAACAGAAAAAAAAGTCACATTATAGATTAGATAAACCAATTCATCTCCATTATTAAAACAAAAACTACGACGAAAAACAAGACTGCTTTAGTTCAATCATTTTCTTCATTCTCCAATCGCTTTTATATTACAGTGGTGACATTCTAAAAAAATGAAATCTTTCTTTTTCTTATAAATTTATAATTGTATTTAAAAACCTGTATCAAATATATTAAAATAAATGTTTGTATACAATTATAAATAAAATTGAATGTAAATTCGATTTCATATAATTTATTGAAATTAAAAATAAATTTTACTTCTACTTTGTTAACTATACATGATAACAATCATAAATTTTTAAAAGAGGATATTTCTATATTTATTTTTTTCATTCATAAAATAATATGCATCTGTCATATTCAAAGATGCTATATAGAATTCAAGAAAATAGATCTTTCGATGGTGATTAAGAATTATTTGACATACTATGAATCTTGCAACACTGTGTATTGAATAGTATAGATATCTACAGGAAAAAAGCATACAGAACTCTAAAATTCTGCAAATTCATCTTATACTGTTGTATTTCCAACAGGAATTTTTGTGAATACACAAATTAAAAAAATTACATGATAAAGTATATACAGTAAAACTTCTTATATTGAACACCTTTGTTTTATAAACGGTTTCAGGTCTGACGGAGCGATTTTTGCTGAAAATGTATCTCTCCAATATGAACATCTCTTTATTCTGAACAGTGAACGCTTTTTTTCGGTCCCGTCTGATGAACTGCCTAATTCGAATTCGAATATAAATGGTGAAATTTAGGAATAGATTCACTTTTAGTTTTAGTTTTACTCTAAGATATATATGATTTATATATACGATCAAGAGGTGGGTAGAAGAAGGTAGCAAAGTGGGTGAGAAGGATCTATCTGAAAATCATTCTAAAACTAAATCTATTCCTAGAAATAGGTAGTAGTCTTTCTTTTTTTGATATCCGATTATATTCGAACTCGAACTGGGCAGCTACTCTGAAAATTATATACATGAAATCATTTTTGAATCTATTCTATTATTCATAAAATTAAACTTGAAAAATGTCCTTTATTTTATACTCTAGAAAAAAAGAAGAAGAAGGATTCATAATTATACATAGGAAAGATAAATATCAAATTGTTTATATGTTAAGGATTGAAGTATTAATTTTTTGTTGATTGTTGTGATCGTTTAGATAATTCATCTCGTTTCTTTTCTAATTTTTTAATTTGTTCTTCAATTCGTTTTTGTTCTTGTTCAATATTATCCGCATGTTTTTCTAAATCAGTATGTCGATCACGTAATTGTCCCAAAAGTTCATCGTTTAATTTTCGAAAATATGAATTTTCTAATGCTTGTTCACGTTCAGCAAATTTATCATGATGAGCATTTATAGAACCAGCTGTTGGATCTGTACTTGTTAATCTTGTTGCAATTAATATTTGTGATGTTTGTCGTCGTAATAAATTATTACATATACGAAGCATTTTTACGAATTATATAAATAAAAATTTCTTTTTTGTCTTGTTTTGTAAAATATTCTGAAATAAAATGTATGTAAGAGACGCAAAATGGATGTGTATTTATTTTTTCTTTCTCTTTTACGCAGCAGCAAAATCTCTTTTCTGTTTTTTTTTATCGTAGAACACAAGGAGAAAGAAGAGAAATATATATATACATCTAGAAGAACGGCACATCGATGACTCGTTTTACTCATTCTTTTCTTTTTCTTGCTGCTGATAGGCATTGGAGAAAAGCATGGAAAGAGAAAAATGTCGATCAACTAGTTACGCACTTTCAGTATAGAAGAAAAGACAAGGCCATATCTCTTTTCTCCCATTTGCTTATGATGAGATAAAAATAGAGGGATGTATATTTATTACTATAGATCGTAATTTTACTTCAATAAAATTATTTTGTTTCGATTTAGTTTTTTCATTGCAATTATTTAAAATAAAAACAACTAAAATTGATTGTTTCATCTATCTCATGAGATAATATGAAGATTAATAGCCAAGTAGAGAAATTCAGTTAAATCTAACGATCGTCATCTGATTTCTTTCATATTTTTCTTAGTAAAAATATTCAAACAAAGAAGTGAACGATTGAGAAACTATTTTAAACTATACCGATATATTAATAAAAAATTGACAAAAAAGTAATCTAAAAGTTAATGGAAATAATAATATGTTAGCGTAGGATTGACTACTTGTTACGTGTTAATATTCGATAAAAAGTAACAAATAGGTATATTGGTTTCTTGTGTACAACAAGTCAAGGACGATGAGTCATATGGAGAAAAGAACAGATAAGTAGAATAATGTCGATATATGTTTTAGTTCAAATTGGAATTCGTCCATACAAAACTGAAATAATTTTTGAATAAATAAAAAACGTTATTAACCTATATTTGAACACGCGCCTTTCTTTGAATGACATTTAGTAGAGCTGAACAAATTTTAATAACATATTCAACAGTAAATGGCTAAAGTGCTTTTAAAAAAGTAACAAGTTCAGAAAGGATATACACAATCAATAAGTAGAAATTTTTCATAATTTCGCACATTTAACAATGATTGCTCAATTGGACAGTGGCAAAGAAACAAACAAGGTATATCGCTTCTCAAAAGACATATCTACATGTCGACGTACGAATGAATACTTGCTACAAAACGCTCTTCTCATCTAGTTGAATGATGTTTACTGTCAATCTATTAAAAATCTGAAACGAATTATTAATAGAGTTTAAATGTGTAATAACAATGATTCTTTTCTTCAATTACTTGATTCGATACAAAATGAAACAACGTTCATAGTTATACGTGGTTATTTTACTCAATATACAGTACCTATCATTTATAATAAATTGTATCCTGATTCCATTTATATTTTATATGGAGACAAAGTAAAATAATGGCCCAAAATTAAAGATGTTTTTATTCAAATTCTTTCGATTTATGAAATACTGAAAGAAATAGCTCGATAATGAAAAGAAAATGCTATTTTAATAAGTTTTGCGATAATGAATGATGGTTATATATTTTATGATCACTAGGAACAACTAGACAATCTCAAAGAATTATTATTAAAGATTGATTTGAAGAAAACTAAATACAAGAATTTACTGGAGACGATCATGAACTACAAAATATTCTTCGATTTGAACAAGAATATCATGATAGAACACTAATATGGTGGTATACATACGAAGGTTTCTTATCTCGTATGGTCAATTCTGCTCTTCGAATGAATTTCTTTATTTGTGATCTTCATCGCCAAATCAAATAACTACATTCAGAACAATTTGCGAATTACTCTTCGAATGAAGGGTGTGGGTGTGAATCAAGATAAAGTCGATACACCTACACTTATACTCACCCTCATCACCCATCCCTCAACCTATACAAAATTCAAATATTTTAAAATCTATAAAAAAAAACTCATGAAATCACGAGCACCATTTCAGAAAAGATACTCATTTTAACATTCATGAATTGTAGTAATATAGAAATTATTTGTCATATACATCGATTTTATAAGAAATCTGCTTCAATTTTATTTTCTTGTAACGAAAATCTATAAATCACGTTTGAAATCAATAGAAAAATTATATAGATATTTCACATCGGATAAACTCCTATGGAATCGTATTATTTCTTATGAAAAAATATTTTTATTCTTGTGCACGTTCCAAACATCATTGAGTTCTTCTGTCAATTGTGATACGATCAGATTATTGTTTATAGTCACCCTATTGCTATGCGCTAATCAGTTACAACTGAATATGATTGGCCGGGGAATAGACAATATCCTTGAAAATGTTTTGAATCAAATGAAATTGCGTCATCCTAAAAAGAAAACGACGTAAAATCTGTGATATACAAAGTTGGTTTTTTTCCGCAGACTACTCGTTAATAGATTGAATGACGCAGTTACTTTGAAAAAGTACATTTATGAATAGTCATGGAATAAATAATTTATTGAAAATGACTCATTCATCTACCTTTTCGCTGCAATGAATTGCGAAAAAAATTGAAAAAAAAGGTGTGGTAGAGAATAAAGCCTTTCATACTGTTTATTTTACTTACTTCCTTTTCTCTCTCTCTCTCTCTCTCATCTTATTTAATACCTGTGTGATTTTTTTCTCCAAACAGAATTTTAGAGAAAAACACATACAAATAAGCTTTTCATTTTTTGGTAACAGTTATTCTGTTGCATCTTCAAATTCGAATATATACAACATCAAGCAGAACTCTTCAAGCCATTCAAAGTATAAAGCATTCATCATTAGATAAAATCATATATTTTTTTATGAATTAGTAATTGGTAAAAATGTCATTCAACGCTGATCCGAAATCAATTTCAGGCACATCTCTTAATGTAGTTACGAAAGACAATATGACAGATTCTGGCAGTTACATATTTGCTTCAGATGGTATTATTCTAGCATACCCACTAAACTCTGATGGATCAATAAGCCGACGAAATTCAGAAAATAACACCATAAATCCTCTTCGACGATTGTCCTCCGAGTTTCTCAACAAAAAATGGTTTTAACTTTGTAAATTTTTAATCGCGAAATGATTTTTTTAGACTTTTGTGTGAAAGACACGTAATTCAATTACTAACCTATACTATATTTATACCTGATAATCTGTATAAACTCACTATTAAGTCGAATATTTATTGTAAATAAACTATCACTCATTGAAAAACACGAGAAAAAAATTGTGTATGTAAGAGATACTTTTTCCACAGATCACCTTAATGAGGGTGTGGGTGGGGGTATGCACTTTTTCTCTCTGCACAACATCACCTACATCGCGCTCACACCTGTATCCTCAAATTCACCTGATGAGTCCCTTAAGCAAGTATGAAACGCGTCGTAAGTAACTTAGAATTATCTTGTAAATTTGCCTTCATCCTACTGCTTCATTCGTATGTTGGAGAAAAAAAAACCGGTGGATTCTATTGATTGGATGTCGATGCGATGCCTGTTAGTTTATACAAATTGCCACTAAGTAAATATGAGATGAATCATCCACGCACTTTACGTGTTACCGATCAGACAAAATTTTCAGAAAAAAATGCTTTTTTAGGCATAAAAATGTTCGGTTTTCGACATTTCAAAGAAGGAAAAGATAGATTACGTGGGGAGAGTATTCGCAATGATTGAAAGTTACATTTTCGAACTGAAATTTTGTCCATACGTACGTCTCATTACTCTTAGGTTACACGAAGGCTTTCATAAAACCAAATATTTCCGTCTCGAGATAATGAATTGGTAGAAAATGTTCATATTTCGGTGGTAATATATAGAAAAATTCTTAGATTTTTTTCATAAGTTGATCTAATCGAGAGCATTATGTAGGTAAAGTTTCAGACCAAAATTCGAAAATACCATTTTTCTGGAAAATCAGGATCCTATACAGAACTCGAGGTCAAGCCTGAATATCTTCCGCAACTATGTCACTTGATTTTTCGGCAGATATCGGATCATATGCGAAAAATTCGAGAAAATCGTCATAGTTTCTAAATGAGTAGTTAGAAATGTCTGATGCGTCTTAATAGGTGAGAAGCGCACATCTCTCCATCTTATTCCTATCGAAAGTTTTTTAAAAAATACCCAACCGTCTTTTATTTTAAAATGAACAGTAGATCTGTATGTATAATCTAAAACATGTTTTCGAACTCGTTCCGATGCTACGTAATAACAATAGAACGAACTTAACGGAAAGGAAGAAGAATTTAAATATTTTATTAACTACTAAAAAAAGAAATTGTTTACTGTTGATATACTACAGTGATAAGTAATAAACAATTATTTAAATTAATTGCTCTGAAGTCGGATGAAGTCCATTCTTAGACATGCTTTCAGTTGCATATGATTAAACTTGTACAATCTTAAATGGAATTCCACGACAAATCCAAAAGCATAAAAAAAAAACGAATTAGAATATATCGAGCAATTTCGATTTGCTTCTTCTCCGTAAAATAACTGATAATGAAGAACAAAGGCAAATCAAAGAATTAAAAACGCGGATTTCAAGAAATAAATAATATAAAGTAGTAGTTATGTTTGTTAATGTAATATTCATCTATGAATTGTCTTCTGTATAGTCATGGTTATAAAAACAAACAAAAAATGTTTCTTTCTAATAATATGATTAGTGTGCATAATTTAGAAAAAGAATAATATCTATGTGTTCGTGATATAATATTCCAAAACCAAATTTCGATATTGATATACAGAGGAAAATAATAAATAAAATATTTATTGATTTTTAATATGATCAAAAATCTATCGATGTATTTTCTTTCATAATTGATTAATGTTTTTTTAACCTTTCGAAATTATAGAGCCGGTCTCATCGATCATAAAAACACTACTATTTATCTATCCAAATCAGTTTTTAAACGATCTATACCTATTAACAATATAAACTGCAAATGACATATGTGTTATAAAAAAATGAGGGAAACGAAA